GCGTGCCCTGCTCTTGGGCTCCTCACCATCCAGAACCATGAGAAATAGATTTATTAATTCCTCAGCCTCAGATGTTTTGTTACAGCAGCACAAACAGACTAAGACACAAAACTCACTCCTGGAGGACATCACGGAGCACAGAGATGAGAGCGAGAGTGGAATGAGAGTGAGGAGGGGTGCAGGGGTCTTGCTCGGTGAGCACCCTGAGCAGGCACTGAGATGCGCATCACCAGCATCACCCCATGCGACACGGCTCTAACAGGAGGTTAACGGTGTGTGTAACATTCAAATGCAAGGAAAGGAGAATTACACTGGGCGCAGACACGGCAAATGTGTAGGGAGATGCAGAGCCCTGCACTGCGTTCACGTGGGCTGAGTATGAATTAAGAAAAACACATATATAGGAGCTTTCAGGGCCATCCTGATTCTGCCTCCATGCTGGATTCTAAGGTCTGACCTCTGGGGAAAATTATAATTTATTCATTATATTGTAGAGCCATCTATCTTTCTGCAAATTGTTCTCCAAGTTTCCTACCACTTACTAATATTATAGTGTCATAATTCTGACCTGAAGGAGATACAAGCTAAAGCATCTGTTTCTTAGTCTCAGCTGAGTTGGCTCTAAAGCCAAGGCCACCCTTCCACATGGCCAGCCCACCATGGCCCCAAGAGCACACCTCTCGGCTCTCTCCACTCTTCCCTTACCCGCTGGAAATTACACCAGAATCACATACTTTTAGAAACGAGAGCGCACATACTTAATGAGTGCTGCAAGCTCCCACTCCCTTCCCTAGACCAGCGGTGGTGAACCTATGACACCTGTGCCTCCTGTCGGCTTGCGAGCCAAGTCACCCTGCAGCCCAGCATCAGATAACAGTTGCTTTTCAACAAAAGCCTAAGTATCAGGTTTAGCTGCAGCGCTGGCAGTTAGCAATACATAAGTGGGCCTGGGGTTGCAGTTTGGGTACTCATCTCTAAAAGGTTCGCCATCACTGCTCTAGACAGGGGAGAACAGTTGTGTAAACCATGTGTAAGGAAACATTTTCAGTAGAAAACAGGAAGTTTGTGGGTGAGCCCTGCTGTATTTATTAATGCAGCGATTATGTTTTATGGGGTGATCATTCTTTAACCATTAGAACCAGAGCAAACTGATTCTAGCAAACGTTAAGCGCAGAGAGTGCATGGATGAAAGACTCTGAAGAGCTCTAAAGTAGCAAGCTAGAGAACCAGCAGCAACCGCAGCAGCACTGTGAGTAGGACAGAGAACGAAGGAGCGGCTTCCTGAGCAGGGCTCTCCTCCGAGGAGCACCGGAGCATTGGCTAGAGGGGGAGTCCCCACTGAGCCAGGTCTTCTTCCTCTCAGCTAGCAAACTAACCATTCCAAGGAGGAATTTGTTCCACTCTTGCGGAAAGACTGCCAGATTATCAGGTCCATCAAACCCATGGAAAGAGAAATTAAATACTGGGAGCTTGGAAAAGTCCCTGCTCTTGCTTAAGATCCCAGTGCTCAAGCTGAAAGGCCACCCGCCAGTATACGATCTATGATGATGGAAGACCAGTTGTGTTTCAAAATCTCTGTCTTCAAAGATGTGCACCACATCTGCTCAGCCACAAGGAGCAGTCAGCTTGTCACCAACCAACCAACCACGAAAACAGACTTCAGAAAATACTCAGCGGGCCCGAGTCAAGGTTAGCACAGGGACACACAAGAACAACGGCAAAGTCCTATTCCTCTACAGGGCACCCTCACGTGGAAAGCAAACAAACAAAATGACACAGCCAGTAGATCACTGTCTAGTTCTGTGCACTGTGACTTTGCCTTCTGTATGTCCGCTCTCATTTAACTCCTCGTGAAACCCAGCATTCAGATATTATTACTATGCACAGACAGAATATATGCTTTGGCTCAGATCTCACCACCATCTGTCCATTTGCACACAGAACCTGCACTCGTGCCTACGCTGGGCTTCCTGAACACACTGACTGAGTTTTAGACAAGGTAGGGCAGCCCAGTAGTTGTCAGCAATGGGCATGAGTCTAAAATCATGCTCTGGCTGTGTGACTCCAAGAAACGCAAACATCTCCAAGCCTCAGTGACCTCACCTGTGAGGTGGGGGGTGCTACTGTACATCTAGGTGTCCCCTAAAGCCTCATGGCTCATAGGTGGGAAGATGGATGGACTGTCGGGCTTAGGGCTGACTTGCTGTTAGGTGGGGTCTGCTCAGAAGAGCCAGGTCACTGGGCACATGGCCTCCCCCTCCGCCTTCACACTCTGCTTCCTGGACGTCATGGCACAAGCAGCCTTTCTCTTCCATGCCCCTGCATGCTGCCCTGCCTTGGAGCCAACCAACTTTGGACCCAAACCTCTGCAAACTGTGAGCCAAAAACAACCCTCTCCTCCTTTAAGCTGTGAGTATTGGGTGCTGTGTCTCAGTGACAAGGAAAGTAAGATAGAGAAAATCATATCAAGGTCGGCAAGCGTTGCTGTGAGGTCACACAGTCTACCGGAGAAGTGGGGCCCTGCTGTGACTGTACCTTATCATGTGGTTTACAAACCGTTGGAACTGGTTTGCACAAGGAGTTCTGAAAGGTTTGGAGATGTCAGCTAGAGAGGTCCCAGCATGCTGTAAACAGGGCCTGATGGGTGAGTGTGTTTGGAGCTCAGAAGATCGCAATGCTGAGAGGAATGCAGACAATAAAGGTCAGGCTTCACTTGGGAACAAGGACTCCATTGGCCACCGAGGCCCTGTGGAACTCACATTGCATCACCATTTGCCCTGAATGCAAGATTTGGACATATAGGAGATAACGTTTTCTGTGCTGGGTTTCACTCTTGCTTTGATCTGATTCTTTTCTATGCCCCTATTACTCCCTTTTGGAAGGGGAATGTTTATCTTGTGCTATTGTCCCTTGGGATTATGTTATGTTTGCTATGTTATGTTTGTTATGTTATGTTATGTTATGTTATGTTTCTACAGAGGTTCACAGCTAAGAGTTTGCCTTGAGTCTCAGGAGAGAATTGGACTTTTTAAAAATGCTGGAACTGTTGAGACTCTGGAAAAGGGATTATTACATTCTCCATTTTATGCATGGCAGCTGTATCACGTTAGGCAGAATTATGAACTTGCTGTTGTCTTTATTGGGAGATTAGTATGGCTTATGCAGGCGTTAGGGTGTGCAGATTACAAGGGATGGAGTATGACTGCTCATCCTCATATGCCCACCTCATTAGATTAAGAAATGCCGAGATTAGTAGAGCAACACTCCCGTGTGTCTGCCTGGGCCATGGAGTGTGCTCTTGGATACTAGACGTGGTCTCTTCCCCTTCCTCTCTGGCACTGTTTCCCCACTCTGCCCCAAGCCACCACCAACTAAGCGGTTTCCAACACCTTGTCCTTCTGCCATGGTGTTTCTGCCTTGGAGCCAGCTGTCCACAGACTGACTCTCCTGAAACAACGAGCTGAATTAAAGCTTTCCTCCTGCGAATTGTGGGTATTGTGTCTCAGCAACAGGAAGCCTGACTAACATGAGGAGCTGGGGCTGGGCAGTGTTTATATACATGGACATGAGTTTAAAATCTCAGCTCTGCAACATACTGGCTGTGTGATTCTAGGCAAGAAAATAAAATATCCCCCAGCCTCAGTTTCTTCACCTATAAGATTGTGCGAGTTCTATCAAGATCAGCAAATATTACTGCAAAGTCACACAGTGGTTAGAGGAAGAAGGGGAAATGTACACAAGGGCCCAGCCTCCACTGCGGGTCACACACTGAGTGTGAGTAACGATGGGCATTATTAGTTCCACATCTGTCCCCTGGAGGCCAGTCCCAGAGGCCCAGGTAATCTTGATACCTGAAGACTAGCACCGCTTTCGATGACTGGCACAGTAACACACTCAGATAAATGTCTACTGAACAGAAAGTGGTGTACCGGGTTCAGGCAGCCACATGATACTCTAGAGCTGTAATAAGCTCCTCAATCAATGCTACGGCCTTCGCTCATCCCTTAAGCAAATGATGCCTATCTTCCCCTACATCCACAGACTGCTGACTTCATGAGGTCAGGGTCTGTATCTCTTTGGTTCTCTGTGCACTCAATACCTACAAACATCTGTGGACTGAATCTTCAAGAGACACATGTGCCATCTCTCGTTCACCTAGCACCTCACGCAGACATGCAAACATTGCTGTCCAGCAAGTTAAAGATGGGCTTTGGGGCCAGGCTGCTTGGGTTCAAACCCCAGCCCCGCGGTTTACTGGTTGAGCAACCTGGGGTGGCATCTGAAAGCTTCCAATGCCTCAGTTTTCTCATCTGTAAAATGACAGTGTTAACAGTGTGGGGCAGTGGTGTCAAGCTGCTGATTCACAGCAACCTCACGAAAGTGCTCTTCAAATGCCAGCAATTAGTTTTGTGGCTATTTTTTCTCCCATCACACAATCCAAAATAAATTATTCCAGCTGCCTACATCATTTCTCCTTTCACATAGGAGCACATAAAGGTGGCATGTCTACTCCAAAGTCCTGAAATTGACTTGCAGCAGAGAGCAAACCATAACCTCCCAAAGCCTATCTGCAAAAAGAAATGGATTTATGAAGACTGGACTGTTTTTAAAGCAAAAATCTTAAGGGGCCCCAAATATTTCATAGTGTAAGTCTCTCCCTAGTCACTTATGCTGGAACTTTCCCGGCAGCATGGGGCATTGTTCTTTCCATAGAAGGGAAGAGCCACGTACACTTGAGCCGGGTACACTCGTACACGCACACGTACATGTGCACACACACTCACCAGGTGAGGGAACTGGGTCTCATACACATGGCGTCCTCTGCCTTCCGCCCTATTGTGGCTAAAAGGGGGCCCCGCCCAGGGTGCGTCTCCCCTCTCTCTGCGCATGCAGGTGGTGGCCGGGCCACACGCCGGGGAACATGCTGGTGCTGCGCGTACCCACACAGTACCGCTCGCCAGCCGGAGGGGAGAAGCGAGGCAGCCCCCGCACTGCGTTACCTTCAGCACCGTGATGTTCCACGCAAAGCTCTCGGCCGCCTTGTTGAGTTTCCTTCCTTTCAAGCCTTCCTTCGCTGCCAGATTATGCAGCTCTTCGTGGAAGCCCATCCCTTTGAAAAAAGAACGCAGAGAACCCTGGCACAAACGTCAGAACAATGGGCATTTTACCGTACACGTGCCGTCAGTAAAATATAATCTCACATTCACGTCTTCTGAGCACGTCCACAGCCCTGAACTGAATTCTCCTTCCCCTTTTATTCATCCCATCAAGAGGCCGTCCACAGGAAAAAGGGCAGCGATCGGCACAGGCGAAGTTACATTTGACAGCCAGGAGCCAGCGCTGAGGACAGGCCCAGTCGCCCCCGCCAGGTCTCCCGGGTGTCGCGGAAATGGCAACACGGGGGGCGGGCGCTCAAGGCTCCCTTTCCTTTATGATCCAGCCCTGTGGCTTCCGCAGCTGCCCTGAAGCCCCTAGTGATAACTATCAGGAATTAGTAAATGTTCACTAAAAATAAAAAGACTTTCAAAAATAATCCCAAGAAACGCGCAAGTGGGCAGCCCTGGGAACAGCTCCGGCACTGCTGGGCCGGGAAAGCCACGAGACAACAGCAGCAACTGTCCCTGCAGACAGAACAGAGCAGTGCCCTGTGGACAGTGCGCTGTCTCTGCAGCCCAGGGCTGACTGGGCTTCTCGTCCCAGAGGCCCGGAGGGCAAGGTCTCGTCGCTTTTCCCCAGCACGGGCCTTCGGTGCTTGAGGAAAGGGCATGGGATGAACCTGCTCGTGTCCTCCCTGCTCCAGGACAAGCATCTGACATGACTCAGCCTCCGAGCCACTCTCCTTCAAGGACAGCACCCAGGCACGCCACCACAGCACCGAGGGTCCTGTATGCAGCAGTGTGGGACGTGGGTCCAGGAGCAGCAAGGACTCCCTCGGGTTTCTACACCTCTGTGCTTGAGCTCGGAGCCACGCTCACACACAGAAGGGGTGGGGTGTGGACTCGCATGGACCCAGGTTCACATGCTGGCTATGATGGCCACCACTACTGCTGCAATCCCAAGAGCCTCGCTGGTAAGCAGAGGTGACGAGCGTCACTCACGGGACTGCGTGGAGGGTGGCACTGGGCCAAGGCACACAGAGGCTCTCCCAGAGCGGTGCCTGGCATGGTACCACCCACGGTGTCATCAGTTTGTGTCTCCCGTCTGTGGAAACATCCCAGCCTGCCGGGCGGTAAGGGCCACCACTCGTAAAGTCTGGGTTCAAGGCAGCCTCAGCGGGGCTGACAGGGACCTTGGGGCACTGAGTCCGTCTCTCGGGAGCTCAGCTGTCTCCTCGTAAGCCAGACAGAGTGAGGCCCCGCCGCAGAGCTGTTATGAGGATGGAGAGACGGCCTCTGCCCAGTGTGTCACGTCACGTGCACAAGGCAACCGTCCTCACTGTCGTCCTCCCCACCGCGTCACTGCCGAGGGAGGGTGCGCAAACGGGCCGAGGTACCCACTGCGGAGAGGGGGCCCTGCTCTCCCTCGATCTAACATGAAGGCCATGAAATGGGGCTAAAACATGGACAATTAATTAGGGTCACGACTCAAACCCTAAAAATGAAGTGGGTTTAAGGGTGCGAACAAAACCATAGCTTCCATGCCAGTAGTAAAGATGCTGACAGCTCTGAACCCTCAAAAGTAGACTGAGGAGCCATCATCTCCGCAGACATCCGGGACACCGCCCTCCCTCCCATGTACACAAACCCAACCCACCGTTACCACTCAGAGGTCTTCTGTGCTAAGCAAAGACTTCTGCAACTTAAAGCATGGTAAAACAATGCCATAAAATACTTTAAGAGAAAGAACAAGAACTTCTTAAAAACCTGCAAAGAATTATCCTGATGATTTTTAAACCAAATAAAAAATTACCTGCTTTCTGGCACTGGACAATCTTCTCCTGAACTCCATCTGCCATTTCTATGAGAAACCGGCTCTCTTGAATCATCTGCCACAAAACAAACATCAAAGAAGTGGTTGTCAGAAACTTTCAAAGTGGGTAACCGGGAAGGTGACATTGAGGGAGACCACGGAAACATGCAGGAATGGGAGCCCTGGCTCCACCGGCCAAGATGGGAGAGTGAGGGGCAGTCTCTGTCCCCGCCCCTGTCCATCCTAACAGAGACGAGCAGCACAGTTCTCACCACTGCTCCAGGCAGGCAACGTTCCAGGCACACAGTGGGCACCAAATGAATAATCCTGAATACATGGGTGTGCACTCCGAAGTCCCAGGTCATGCCCACAAGCACCTCTCGTCTCCTGCCTGGCCTCAAAGTCTGCTACAACACCAAGGCGGGGGCTGGTGAAACACAAGAATGAGAATCCTAATAGAGTCACCCAGTGAAGAGCTACAGGGCTACTGAACGGCCAGAGAAGCTGGCAGTTTGCAGCTGGGGGCCAAGACAGGGAGTCCGGGCTCCTCGTTTGGCAGGGCTCGACCGGCAGAAAGAGGAGCGGGTCAGACTCCAGAGCGAGGAACGTGACTGAGCTTCAGACAGCAGCACGGACCTGCTTGTGCTTGCGCCCTGCATTTGGGTGGAAAGCAAAACATCTAAGAGGGGAAAAGACTCCGCCACTGGAGAAAAGAAGAGCCTGTGTGTGAAGACGGGGATGACAGGGGAGTGTAAAGATGACAACAGATAAAGGAAAAGGGTGTGACTGGAAAAGGGTTAGGGCTCTTGGGAAATGCAAGAAGTGATTGAAGAAAAGCAACCAATTGGTATCAGTTTCTGAGTTCCCAGCCACTCACAAACCTTGGCCTGTTTCATCCCTGTTGATGTTTCTCTCAGCGATCTGAGGGGGCTCAAGGCAGAACCCAAAGGGGACCACAAAGGTCTCAACTAAGACATCTCCCACTCTTGGGAACAGATGCAGACGAACATACTGTCATCTTTCAAATGTAACAAGGGTGATGTCTACCAACATTTGATAGAAAAAGACACTGAGTCACAACTTTTTAATGCCTTAACAAGGCCACAGCAGCAAATCACATCATTTGTTCATTTGACAAATATCTACTGAGCAGCCCCTGCGGGTCAAGAAGTAAAGGTGAAAGTACATTGAGGAGTAAAGACAGACGTATCTGTACCTCCCTGGAGTTCATGGTCTAATTGGAGAAGTCTACCCAGATGGATGGATGGATGGATGGACTGTATATCAGCCTAACCAAAGTGTAATTACACATTGTCTGGGCCCACAGTGATAGCTACACTGACTATCAAAACCATACAGCTGGCTATGCATGAACGTCTACACCAAGAGACACTGCTGAGCTGAACCGAATTAACTCTTTCAACTGCCACGAGCAAGTGAAAGTTTGCAAACAACACTATCAAATGGCCAGCAGAAGCCTGAGTCATGACAACTTCCAGGTGAACAAAACTTAAAGCCAGAGGAAAATTACACAGGACGGCAATCTGATTTAGTCTTTTTCAACACCCACACATACAACATCAACTGAATTTCTTTCAAAAGTGATCAGATATTACAGTTAGTCAAGTAGCAGACAAACTGTTCTCATGACGTTCAGGCAAGAGAAATATCTACAAAGAATGGACACACTTTGTGGGTGTATCCTAAAACAAAACAAACTGTAGCTCTAATTCGGATCCTAAATGTCCCACAGAGGCCTATGTGTTAAAGGCTTGATCCTCAAGAAAGAGCCAAACTCCTGACGAGAGGAAGTCTTTAGTCTTTATGCCCTTCCTCTGGCCCCTCCTCTTCCTCTCTGCTACTTCCTGCCATGAGGGAAGCAGTCTGCCATTTTCTCCCTGCCATTATCTTTCAACACCCACTGTGATCAATGGGCCCATGATCATGGACTGGACCCCTCGAAACCATGAACAAAACGAACTTTTCTGTTTATGAGTTGGTTATTTCAAGTATTATAAGACTAGAAACCCTACTAACACATTTTTAAAAATCTGGACAGTAAGGCTAAAGGAACCTTAGTTGTTATAATCACTTTCTTCATTTTGTTGAAACTAAGACAGATTAAAATTCCTGTCCAATGAATGGGATTAGTGATCAAGCTGGAATTAGAGTCCCAGTTGCCTGGCATCCAGTCTATTTTCATGGTAAAATGCCACTTCTCTGAACTTGTCTGGCTTCACAGTGACCCAGGGGAGCAGATGCAGGGGCTGCACATACAAGCCACCATTACAGTCTGAAATGAAGAAGGCAAAGTGACCTGGTCTAGCCTGCTGGAGCAGACGTGAGGACGTGCACGTAACCAATCTCTTTCAACCGGACTCATGTCCATCTTTACAAAGGATGATGGATAATTTCCTTTGATAACATCTGTACTGAACTGCTATTCATTTCTCTTGGTTTTGCTCTCAGACGAGAAAATGACACTATTCTGCAGTAAAAAGCCTTTATCTATTGATTTGTGGCTGCTTATTTACAGTATTTTACTACTTATCTGCCTGCTCAGCACAGAGCACAAGAGGAATACACTTCCTGCATCTAAAAATCCCAAAGCCTCAATGCAAAGATGAGAGAGAAAGTTAGCCAAAGCCAACACTTCTGTGTAAACTTGCATCCCCTCCTCCCTGCATTTCTAGGAGACCAGGTCCTCATGACCACTTCTTTCTTTCATTAACAAATTCTACCTCTCCCCTGGCTTCTACTCTTCTGCATGGATCACCTCTTAAACATAGCAAATAAAAGCAGTAACAGAATATCCTGTTGATCTGCAAGTGGTTGTGGTCATCTCTCCTTCCTTGAAAACTCAGCCCACACTCACTGCTTTGAGCTCACCCTGTGCAAACCACCCTACTTTATCCCCAGGCAAACCCTAGCAGGCCTCTTAGTTTATTTCAGTGCCTCCCTCGCTCGGTTCTGTGTCCTCTTCACTCCCCATCTCACCTCCAAATCCCTAAGCTATTCTCTTTTTTTAATCTATTTGGAGTATGTCTTATTCTCTATCTTCAGTGACATTTCATTGCATACCTTGACTATCTTCTACACTGTCACCCCCTCAGTAAGTTGTGAGTCCAGTCTATCTGTTCATCCGACTGCTCTTACATATGTATTTGCTACCTACAATAAATACTTCTTTCCTTTAATTTTTGAGTTCCTTAAGAATTTTAAATAAAACATTTTATTCTAAATAAAACACTTAATATTTTAGAAAAAAGCATCATCAATAGGTTAGTATATTTATTTTTAAACAATCTACCCGTAAAGATAGTTAACGTGTCATGAACAAAAACAAATACAAAGCTAGATTATTTGCAGCTACCGGGAAGGCCTCCACCACTGGGGTCTGTAGGAAGTGTTCCTTGTCCTGGGGAACCCGAACCACCTGCCCGCCTGACTTAGGGGCACAGGACAAAGAAACATGCACAGAGCAGGCCAAAGGCCATCCATCTCCACATTCATGAGTGACAGGATCTATGCAGGGAGCCGCTTCCTGCATGAAGGGTCACTGTACCTCCTCCTTTCCCTAGGTGTTCTGTCACCCAAATAGTTCTCAACTATGTCTTGAAAACGCACTAGAAATGATTGCTTTAACCCAGTTATCATTGTGTTTTAGCTCATTCACTAAGATGTCCAGGGCCGAGGTTCCACACGCCTTCTCCTGGGTTGTTCAGCCAGTCCCAGGACCTCCTGCCTCTACCTGACAGCGTCGCAGGAATCCGAGGCTTCAGCCCCTCAGCAAACGTGGAAGGAACACACACCACAGTTCACCACGGAGGCAGCCCCAAACACTGGCTTAGAGATGCAACTCTAACATGTGGCTCCTTCGGACCCTGAGACCAAGGGGAAATTCTGTCACCTCTCAGGATGTCAACGGTCACCTCTTCACACAGAATAGGCACCGACTTCCACAGCGAAGGAAGTTTCAAAGCACTCGGCACCAGCTCCTGAATATAAATTAGCAGCTAGGGCTGGGTACTAGCCAGTGGCCGTTGTTTTTCTGGATTGGCAACATACTTTTTGAAATGAAAACTAAAAGCTAACATGAAGTTCTGTGCAAACCTCACAACCAGAGAGACAGGTGAAAGGAAACTGCCTTTGGTTACATAATTTCCACTCAAATTGATGTCTATAAGCAAAACTACCTTGAAGAACTGCGGCCATCCCTACACCTGTGTCCCATCCTGAGCAGAAACGTGCACTGGTAACAGCAGGGACATAGGGAAGGCAGTGCATTCTAACCAGGATACCTGGTACCTCGGCAAGCACCACTGGACAGCCATTAACTCCTCTTGCTGAGTTCCTCTCGTCCAGCACACTCACACCCCAGCTGCGTTAGTAAACTATTAACCCTTGATTCATGTTCGCTACGTTGACTTTGATTTCACTTTATCTTCAGAAAGCTCGCTGCCCTTACCAGAGTAAACTTTTAACTTTTATGTTAATGTTAAGTCACCTTTCAGGAATGCTTTATTTTTCACAGCTGCAGCGCCCTGTAACGTTTCCACCTCTAGGTGATATATTCAGAGCACCAACTGCCCACAAGTTTTCACAGTAATTTAAAACACATAAAAGGATTAAATATGTGAGGCAAAGATTTCTTCACTGTGCTCAGAAAAATTAGGCAGGTAAGAGCATGGAAAGAACACAAACCCAGCCATCTGAAGAAAAACTACACAACAGTCAAATGATACTTTTCTTTCAAAATTACTTGCAGATAAAATCTGCTTGGCTCTGGGTGGGAGGAGGGATGGGGCGTGGTACAAGCCGCAGCGCCTCTCCTAGGACTGTGGGTCCTGATGGCTGGGCACGTGACATCACCTGGTGCCTCTCTGGCCTGCGTGTGCCTTTGCTCCTTCCTGTGCTGCCTTCCTTCCATGGTCCCCCATCCTTGGGGATAGAAAGTTCACTTCTGGTCATTTCTTTCCCGGGGAACTGACATGATGCCTGGCACATGACACGCATCCAAAACACGGCCATTCAATGAAAGGCCTGGTGGTGTAAGCAAAACAACACATTATAAGG